AGCATCGCCAGTGTAGGCGATGATGCGACGGATACCCTTGGCAATACCGCTCTCCTCAACGATGACAAGGTCCTTGATGAGGCCGGTCTGCTCAACGTGAGTACCTCCGCAGAACTCCACGCTGACCTTGCGCCACTCTGCGTTCTTGGGGTTTGCGAGGAGGGTGTCAACATCAACGCCGACAGACACAACACGAACAGGGTTGGGGTATGTCTCGCCAAAGACGGCACGAACACCCTCAATTCCCTTGGCAAGATCGAGGTCTACCTCCTTTGAGTAAATCTTGCCATTTTGGCGGATGTAGGCGTTAGAGAAGTCCTCAATCTTCTTGAGCTCGGGAATAGTCACACCCGTCTTGTGAGAGAAGTCGAAACGCAGCTTCTCGTTGTCGACCAGAGAGCCCTTCTGGTTGATGTCGTCGCCGAGAACTTCCCGGAGGGAGTGGTTGAGGATGTGGGTGCCAGTGTGGTTGTTGCGGATGGGCGATCTTCTCAGCTCATCGTACTCGCAGATGACTTCGTTGCCAGAGGACAAGTTGCCGTCCTCAAGATAACCACTGTGAACAATGTAGCCACCAAAGTTCTGAACATCGAGAACCTTAAACTCGGCGACACCATCAATGACGATGCGACCAGAATCGGCGACCTGACCACCAGACTCAGCATAGAAGTTGGTCTTGTCCAGCAACAGACCCAAGGGAGTGTTCTCGGCGATACCCTCAGTTGACTTGATGAAACCCTTGCCGTCGTAGATCAGCTGCACCTTGGCCTTTGAGTCACCCTTGACGAACTTAGCCTCATCGTCCGTTCTCGCGATGTTGAGCTGCTGCTCAAGCTCAGCGATTTGATGGACATTCAGCTTCGCAAAAGTCTGGGCAGCGTTCTTGACGACCTTGCTAGCCTCGCGGGCCTTCTCCTGGGCAACCTTGACCTCCTCGTCGTCGATATCGAGCTTGCGCTCCTCAGCCATCAGCTTTGTGAGATCGACGGGGAATCCGAAGGTGTCGTAAAGTCTCCAAACCTCGGCACCAGTGAGCTTCTTCTCGCCCTTCTTGATGGCAGCGTTGGCGAACTTCTCGAATTGAGCCTCGCCACGGTCAAGTGTACGGGCAAAGGCCGCTTCTTCCTCGTCAAGGATCTCAATGATATCCTGCTGCTTCTTGACAATCTCGGGGAACTGTTCACCCATTTGGTCGACAAGAGCAGGGAGAATCTTGGAGAAGAAGGATCCAATCTCGGCGTTGAAGTACTTGCGCGCGTAGCGAACACCGCGGCGGAGCACTCTGCGGAGGACATATCCGCGGCCGTCATTGTTGGGGACAGCGCCATCGGACATGGAGAAGGTCAAAAGACGGATGTGGTCGGCAATGACACGGTAGGCAGTGTCGATTCCGTCGGCGTCATCGGCTCCATACTTATCAGTGTAGGGCCTGGCGCCAGTAACTTCCTCAATTCTCTTGAAGAGGGGTGTGAAGATATCGGTGGCGTAGTTGGAAACAGTATCCTGGAGCGCAGAGACGAGACGCTCGAAACCCATGCCAGTATCGACGTGCTTGGCGGGGAGAGACTTAAGTGACTTATCAGCCTGGCGATCGTATTGGATGAAAACGTTGTTCCAGATCTCCACGACCATCGGGTCATCCTCGTTCACCAAGTGAGCGGCGTTGCGACCACCGCCGACCTTGTCGTAGTGAACCTCACTGCAAGGACCGCAAGGGCCTTGGTCACCCATCTCCCAGAAGTTGTCCTTCATGTTGCCAGGCAAGATGTGGTCGTCGGGGACACCAACGGATTGCCACAAGCTCTTGGCCTCTAGATCGGGCTCGAGACCCATCTCAGGGTTACCCTCAAAGTAGGAGACGTACAGGCGGGCAGGGTCCAGACCATAGACCTTGGTCAAGAGCTCCCATGACATCTCAATGGCCTCCTTCTTGAAGTAATCTCCAAAGGACCAGTTGCCCAGCATCTCAAAGAATGTGTGGTGGTAGCTGTCCTTGCCGACATCGTCGAGATCGTTGTGCTTGCCACCAGCGCGAATGCACTTCTGGGAGTCGGTCGCACGCTTGAGAGGGTACATGGGATCCGACTTTGAGATCGTTCCGAGGAAGATGGGCTTAAATTGGTTCATGCCCGCATTGGTGAAGAGCAAGGTGGGGTCATTGTGAGGGACGACGGAGGAAGACGGCACTGAGATAAAGCAGAGATGGTTAGCCAATTGGCACATTTGAAGCAAAAGTTAGAAGCGCAATGTCTAGATGAAGAATAGCAGAGGCAATTTCCTCTATTACGCCGTGTTGCTGGGGGAAAGTGGAAAGTCGGTGACAACATACCGATCGTGTGGCCCCTCTTCTCGAAGAACTCGAGGAAAGTCTTGCGCACAACGGCGCCGGGCCACTTTGGCTCAGCCATGACAGCGGTGGGCAATGTCGAAGTAGAGTAAAAGCGCCTGTAGGGAAAAGTAGCACTCGATGCGATGAGTCCAGACGGTGAGTGGGTATCTGTCGTGGATCCAACCGACGCTCGAGTCCTCTTGGAAAAAGTGATTGTTGATGGTGATGAGGGGAGGGATGATGTTTTATCAGGGTCGGCACAGCTGTGACTCTTTTGGCGGGATGAGCTGCTTGCTAGCGCGGCAGCTGCATTGCTTCGGGGTAGGAGGGGCAGCGGCGTCCGTGCCAGTGGCAGAGGCAGAGGTAGAGATAGCTGGGGCGATAGCGGCGGCGGGCCTGGTTGCGGGTGGTGGTGCAGATGCAGATGCGGGTGCGGCGAGGGGTGGTGGTGGTGGTGGTCCAGGTCCGTTGCTGTTGCTGGAGCTGGAGCTGGAGCTGGTGGTCCGGTGGTGCTCCTGTCGTGGAAACTTCTACAAGAATGAGTCAAAGCCAGTACAAAAGCGCCAGAGCTCCCCGGCAGTCGCAGCCGATGCTCAAGGCTACTTCGTCCGCCACAGCTGAAAGCCAGAGAAGAACGCGCTTGCGCCCGCGCCCCTCGTACGAGTACAGCAGCATTAGCAGTAGCGAAGGCCATCCTTCCTCTCCGCTTCCTTCCAAGTTCCCCCTCACCCCTTAGAATATATATCGACGAATTGGATCTGCTCAGGAGAGAGCAGCAAGCCAGCGAGCAAGCTCTACCGGTACTAAGACCGTCCACGGATCTCCTTCTTTCCTCTTCTTTTCCCCTTCTTTTCGCTGATTCAAGCCGCAACTCTCTCTCTCTTCTCTTACCAACCAAACGTAAAAGACAACCAACACTGGCAAAAGTTGTTCTCCGCTTCTCGCCGTCCAAAGACCTTAGCTCACCAAGGACATTCGAGACTTTGGATTGACTTTGGGCCCGCGTTCTTCACTTCGCGACGGGATATTCCCTACCCTTCCGGAAACGGCGATTCGATATCAGCCGCACCGTACCGTACCGTACCTTTCTCTCACTCTTTTTTCTTTCTCAAAGCTCACTATTGAGAGAATCTCGGACCCGATTGGCAGCACCTCTGTTACGCCCGCTGCTCAGCTGCGCCTGTCGTGTCTCTCTTTGCTGCGATTCTAGCGGCCGCTTCGGGACTTTGAACAATTGACCATCGCACTTGTTTCCGAATATTATCGTCGTTGTCGTCGGTCAGCAGCTCTGCGAACCCGGGAGCTGGTAGTGCTAATAGGGGTGGTACACCGGAAGAAGCGGTTGGACAAAAGGCAGAGAGGAAAGAGGGAAAGTTCCAGCAAAAGTCGCCGAAATATGCTACTGCACGGGACCCAATCTCCCTCCCACGCCCTGGAGGCGGATCAGCACCAGCACCAGCATCCGCAGGCGAGGCAGCTAAGGCGCAAACGAAAAGCTGAGTCTCAAGACAACGAACGTTTATCCAAAAGGCTCAGTCTTCTGAATTTAGGTAAGTCAACTGCCACAACACGAGCTCACGACAATGGAAACTTTCTTTCCGCTTTCATACTAACGCACCATGCAGAGAAGAATGGCCAGAAGCTCTACGTGCCTGTGGAGGAGCCGACTCCGTCTTCAAGCATTCCAATCCCCGCAGACTCGTCGTCAGCACCCACATCTCCTCCCACCACCCGTCGCCGACGTCGTGATCGCAAACCGTCCGTCGATGAAGAAGTGATGCAGCTCGACGACTCCAAGCACAAGGTCTACATTTACAACATTGACGATGAGCTGTCCTCCTCCGAGAGCGAACCCGACGAGGGCAGGCTCGTCTTCCTTCCAGACATTGAGAAGCACCTCCGTCAGACGCGCATTCCTCCCTCCATTTTCGCCAACGACGAAGGCCAGCTTGCTGGCATGCAGGTGGTCCTCTACAACGAGCCCGCGTCCTTGACGGTACCTCGTGAGCAGGACAGTGTCCGCAAGGCCATCGTCGAGTCGCGCGCCCGCATGCGCGAGAGGCAGCGTCTCGAGCGCGAAGGCAGAGGCGCCCCAGTGCAGATGCCTCCGCCCTTCGTCTCTCAGCAACCTGTAGACGCCATCATTCCGGACCCCCCAACCCCAACCGAGATGTCGGCACCTGTAGACTACGATCCCGACGCCATGGATATGGACTAAGGGGACCCTCCAAGGCAAGTAATGATTGTGTATTTTATGACGATACCCTACGCCGTCACGAATGGGCACGCGTTATTGCGAGACCCCCGGCATCTTTAGCCAGGTCAGCGAGGCGTTTTTCATTGGTATCATTTCGATCCGTGTTGATAGAAGTAACTACTTTGTACAATTGACAACAGTTATTTGTAAAAGCATCCAGCCGCCATCTCTTTAGACATGCAGCCTCGATGTGTGAGATCTTGCAGCTTCTTGTTGGAGAAGTCACTTCCTGGTGAATTCCCATCTTCAGCTGCGTACTCCCGTCTTGATGATTTCCAGCCTCATCTCGTCTTTATTTCGTCTCTGGCCAATAATGCAAATTCATCCCACGCTTCGAAAAGATCGCCATTGCAACAACATCAAATCAACATGCCACCTCCCCTCCCCTCCCGCCTCAGACTTCGCCCTTCGGCCTCACTGCGCCCTATACGGGTACGGCTGACCAGTGTGGTTCGCCGCAACAGAGGGCTGCGGCGGCGTGACGCCGTACTCCTGGGACGGGTCGACCTTGCTGCCGCCGTCGGGGGGCGCATACATTGGGGGCCGGGCCGAGTTGGGGTCGTAGGTCGGGGGCGGCATCCCCTGCATGCCGTAGTAGCCGCCGCCCTGTGCCTGCGGGTGGGTGTTGTAGTACTCGGGGCGGTAGGTGTTGTAGGTGGCGGCGGGCCAGGCGTAGCGGCTGTCGACGCGGGCGAGCTGGGCGCGGCTGAAGAGCCAGCGGTGGTAGCCCAGGGGCAGGAGGCCCTTTCTCAGGCGGCGCTTGCCGTGGGCATAGGCTATGATGAGGAAGGCTGCGAAGAGGGTCGTCAGGCCGAGGAAGACGGACCACTTTACGATGACGCCCGTCTGTTTTGGTGGGCGTTAGATATGAGAGACACAGATGGCAAGCAAGAGTTATGGATGAGAACTTACCCGACTGTACCACCATGGAATCGCCCGTCCATTCTGTATAACCCAGCCGGGAGGGAGGTCGTTCGAGTTGACCACCGTCTGGCGAGCGCTCAGGTATGCGGCGTCCATCTTGTGAAGTTTGTGATTTGCAGGAAGTCGGATTCGCCCCTTCTTACGATTTCCCCCCTTTTTCCCTTCCGGTCAAGTTCCCCTCTCTCACAATCTTGGTGAATGTCGAAGCTTGACCCAAGCCTTTGATGAATGGTGATGGAGTATTGTTGATGGAAAGGCTGCAGATCAACTACGCCAAAAGAAGACACCCTGCTGCTAAAGATTGGCAGAAACGACCGGTGCAAGGATAGCTACAACCAGACAAGAGAGAAAGTGTGGTGTGAGTTGTGCAGGAAACTTGGCTCTTTTGCCAAGACTTTTGAAGTGCAACGGGTAGATGATATATTTGAAGACAAGACCCAGAACAAAATAAGAGTCGGAAGGAAACTTGGAATTAAACAATACGGGAAGGGGAGGCCTGCTGCTCCAGCCCCCAGTCACTGGTACACTGATACAAGAAATGATACCCCCCGGCTTGGATCGTCCGGTCCCCTCTCTCTGTCTGCCGTCTTTCCTGTTCTGTTCAGTCTGTTGCCATTTGCTCGGACATGGGGGCGTGGGTGTCGGTCGGCGGCCTGCTGGGCTGCTGCTGCATCGTTAACTCTGTTCTCCACGGCGCATGGCTGGTGTGCCAGGGGGGGGAAGAGAGCGAGGTTTGGGAGGTTGGAAAGGGTGGAAACTGGGCCAATTGGCTGAGCTGCTGTCGCTTCCAACAGGTGCCCCACACGCGCGTCCACGGGTACCTTAAGGTAGTGGACACTGAGGTGAGGTACAGAGCAAGGCAAGTGACGGGTGTTGCTGTTCTCGGGGAGCGCAGCAGCTAGCTGAGTGGAGATGGGGATTGAGGTGCGGCTCGTGCAATTCTGCGGCAGCGCTGAAGCACCAGAGCCGTTTCATCCACCTCGGGTCCCGAACGGCGAACCACTTACGACACGTATGGATTTGTACCTTACCCAATGGTCTGTTGACGATTGGGAGACCTCGAGGCTCAGAGGTCCCCTTCTGACAAAACCCGCTGTACGGGATATCTCTACTGCGAAGCCCCGGGAAAGGACAACAACAAAACCATAACACACATTGCGAACACAACGCGAGACACTTCAAAGCGCCCCCCCCCCCCCCAATCCTCAGCCTCTGAGTCGAATCCGCTATCGATACCACCTCAAGTTGAGTTATTCAGGACAGACCCGAGGGCAATCAATGGCGTGGTATACGCTCTTGCAATAAATGGCCTGGTATAAGCTCTTCACATAGGGAAAAAGCGGCGAATTTGTATGCTTCAAACCAACTCACTCAGTCATTCACTGCACTCACCACCGTCCGAGACCCCCCGTCCTCGCTCTCGCTCAGCTCACTGTGCTACCTTACCTCAGTATCACCTGGCCATATCAAACAAGCGACAGCGCTGCTGATGGCTTGAGAGTCAAGACTGCTTGTCCCGTACTGCTGTGACTGCTTCTCCCGTATCCCACCGGCCGAACGTGACGAAGTTGAGTTCGCCGGAACCCGTTTCGCGCGTAAACGCCCGCGGAGAGCACACGACTTCGTTCTCGGTTATAAGCATCACGCAATTGCTTTCGTTTACGAGTTCCACTTCTCCATTCTCACTCCAGTGCCCCCCCATGTTCGTAAACCACCAAAGAAACTCAAGAGATCAATCTACTGTACTCTTGCAGTCAACACGTGGTGCCACTCGTAAGAACCCAAGGCGAGCAAGGAAACGAATGGCGTACGTAAGGCAGTCAAAACTTACCATGTAAGCGACCATGAAGTAATATCTGACCGTTACTATCCAAACCTCGATAGAAACTCTACTGCGTCTACTACTACAACAACAAACCCCCTTCCTCCAACAGAAACATCGGATCAATCGGCATGCGTCAGCCACAACTCTCGTCAGCCGATCATGGTTTAGTAAGGCGAGAACGAACTAGGTGGGTGTATGAGCTTGTTCAGTGATGGGTGGATGGGAGGAGGGGGGAGGGCGGATGCCGGCACACTTACATACATCGTCATCACGCACATAGTAAGAGAAGTAAGACGGCAAGGTACACATTGACCTACACACTTACACGTACACAAACCCGACACGGGCCCTCAGTAAGGCTTAGCAGCAAAAAAAAAAAAGGGAACAAGCGTAAAGATGAAGCTTGATTTGTGAGGCACACAACACCCAATGCAAATATGAATTCCAGTTGAGGGTACATCCTTGTGGGAACATCATCCCACGTCTCAACACTACACCACCCTGCCTCCAGCATACTATGATACTTAGCAAAGCCCATCGTGAAGGAGGAGTGAAAAAAGAAAAGAAAAAACAAGCTCGTCCGGCAACCACCGCCGAAAAGAAAAGCACAGGCACTCTCTTATTTCTCTGTCCCTTATTATTAGGTATCTTTCGGGGTTCCCACCCAACGTTCAGACCGAATTTTCTCATATCGGGAAATATAGGGCTGGCTGTATGACAAAACAGTCTCGCAGCCTGCCCAACCATCCATCGCTCTTCTCCCCGACCGAGAGAGAGAGAGCTTGAATACGATTTTCACTCGGCCGGCGGTTCGGATCTCGAGCCGGGAGCCTCACTGACCACCTCCCCCATCTCAGACAGAGAGACTCCATCAACAATCCTCAAATGGGGATGCAGAGTACCCAAGGTTGGTTAATACCAAGAATGGGAATAAGTGAAGAAAGCGAGCAGCATTTCCCTCTGTAGCCATCATCTGCGGAAGAATTGAATTACGCCAGCCGACGCCTGTCGCTGTGTTTCCTACTCTTCGTCTCGCAGCCCGTGTTGATCCGAGAATGGCCATGTTGGTCAAAGTAGAGCCAAAGGCTCTCGAGCCTATTCTGTAGACGTCACCTCGTCCGAGACCCCGTGTGTCCGTCGTCGTCATGTATCACGGATACGTCCGCCTCATCTCGTCCCGTCTCGTCGACGACGGCAGTGAAGAAGAAGCGAGAAAGCCGTGTGTCCGCTTCACATCACCCGTCCCTCCACCAACCGGTATCCTCATCGTAGCCGATAATCTCAAAATCGATATTCATACTCCGGAGCATCGTCCCCATCGTGAACTCCTGTCCTCAAAGTCAGCAAAACCCTCATCCTCCCCGTCCCTGCCCCCCCAATATGCAAGAAACTCACCTCATCCACTTCTTCCTCTTCCTCATCCTCACCATCATCTCCCTCTCCTCCTTCACCGCGATACCCTTCGTCACTCCCCTCCCACTCCTCACAACCACCCCTCCTAGCCCTTCCAGCACTTTCTTCCCCCTCCAACATCGCCATAAACCTCACCTCATCCTCCCTCCTCGCCCTCCTCCAAGCCTTCAACCCTCCCATCCCCTCAACCCTCTCCTTGGATCCCTCAAACACCTCCTCCGCCGCAATCCGGCTCGCGGCCCTCCACTTGCCAATCAACTCGACAAGCTCCTCGTCCGTCTCCCCTTCACTCATGGCGATGCCACCGCCGCGAATCCGCTCAGCCTGCCGTAGAACCTCCTCCCTCCCCTCCGCCTCCCTCTCACTCTTACTCCCTCCACCAACAAACCCGAGCCCGGGACCCGTCTTCCCAGCACCACCAGCACCGTAAGAGCCTATCGCCGCCGTCGTCCGCAACGGCGAAGGTGAGGCACCCGTCAGCTGCATCCCACGCGCGCGCGGAACGCTAAAGGGCCGGCGTGTAGGCGTAGGCGCAGCCGTAGATGTAGACGTGAACGTGCCGCTCACCCCCCCTTTCCCAGGCGTCGCAAACTTCTCCGTAGCGTGCCGTGGTGTCGTCGTTGCGGCCCCCCTCGCAGATGGCAATGACGCTGCTGCCGGGTCTGTGGTCGCCGGTGCCGCCGAATCGCAATCGTCATCCTCTTCAGCCGCAGGATCCTCCGCCGCCGCCGCAGCAGCAGTGTCCGCGGTGCTGACCTCCCGGGTCCGCTCCGGGCCTGGATCTTGGTCTCGGCCTCGGTCCCGCTGCACCAAGGGCGACCTGAACGGTTTCCGAAGCGTCTCGTTTGCCGCCTCGACTCGTCGGCGTTTCGCCGCCGGGGTAAACATTTGTACCTCTTCTTTGATTCGTACGCTCTTTTTTCTGTTCCTTCCTTTTCAACGTGATGATCGATGAGTTTACAAACTGCGCGTGTCGCCTGTGCTCTGCGAAAGTGCGTGTAAGAAGGCGGGCCGCATTTGACAGGGCCGCTATCGCTTTTTGGTAAGTCAAAGTCAAGTCAAGGTGAGGTAAGGTGTTATTGGAGGCTTTTTGCGGTTGACCGCGACTGCCTGTGCGGACCTGTAAGAAAACGCACCCACGCGCCACTTTTCCGACTTTCGGGATTCAAGGTAAATCTAATGTCATGTTCGCCATGGAAAGATTATGTCAACATGACATGTAAAAAGGGCACATCCAGCTCGCGCTTCTACGGGCCGCGCCGCGAGACGGTATCGAAGTCACTAGTGCCAAGATCTTGGCTAATCTCTACACACACATCACGGTCTGTATGAACATGCAAAATTGTACATCAACAGTTCATTCCAACTATTCAGCCATTGTCCTTCAGTAATCTACAGAAATCACACCAAACGCCCCGAGATCATCCATCTTCTGCTGCAGGCCAGTTTTCCATGCTTCCAGTCATCTCACATGTCCGTGTGCACATCATTCCCTCCAAAGCCGTCTCGGACACGAAGAGTAGTAATACTTATCAGTCCGGATGAAGAACGAAAAATAGAAAGAAAAAAAAAAAACAGAAACCCTGTCCGTGGCCAATGTTGCGCCTAGCAATGCAGCATAATCCTCCGCGTACACAGAGATATAGAAGAGAAGGTAAACTAAACATCTTACGTGACGCTAATGCCGTAAAGTGAAAAGAAAGAGGTATCATAGAACCAAATGCACTCCATACATGGTCTGAGGAGGCCAGAATGCAGATGAATGGTACAGATAAGGCATCGAAAAAAGCGTCGAATGAAGAAGAGAAACTTGAAATCAAGAATCTACCCGAATCCTCTTGGGTTCGTTTCCGGCCTC